AGCTTAGTTTTTCTCTTATTGTTTCTAATTAACAATATGCAGTTGCCTGGAAACAAAATTCAGTAACGTGCTTGGTGTATGTGGATTGTGGATAATAGGATGTTCTTTCCCCAATACTTCTTTTCCTCTGAATATAGCTGCATTTTGTCATTTCTGTCAAGAAGATATGTCATCTTTGATTGTACATCAGTATATGTGCATGTTGTGTACTTCTCAGTTTTTTAATAAAATAATAGCATGCACCAACTGTAGAATTCTTGCACAGTTAATTATGATGTTAAAAATAAAATTAATTAGCAAATTACAAAATAAAATATTTATTAATAAGATCTGTAATACTTTGTAATATTATCTCACTGGCTAGTTATAATGAGGTATTAAAGCATTTTTTCAAACTTTTATTAATTTTATTTTCCTAAATTTTCACAGTAGGAATATTTTCAGTCCAGGATTAGGGTTAGAATTGTCCTATTTTTTTTAAAGACTATAAGATCACAATGTTGCTGCTTATTCTTCTCCTCCTGTGGATACTGCTTGTTCAGATTATAACAAAAAACAGCAATGCAAAAAGAAAACTCTTCCCTGGACTTTCCAACATGACTTGGAATTGTCAGGCATCGAAACTTTCCAAACATCTAATCTACCACTGATCTATAGTCTTTTTCCATAAGCACTTACCAGAAGAACCATTAAAAAATTAGTTATAGATTTGTCGTCAAACATCATCTAAAATTCTTCCCACCAAATCCCTTTGAAGAAAAGGATAGTATTTGATTTAGGCAAAATAGTGTTGTGTGTATTCTGACTAGCTGTCAGTAATTCTTTGAAGAATTCCACTGGAGACACAAATATCAAATTGTACATCTGATTAAGAGAGACAAGTAATAGATGCACCCTACAGATTCTTATCAGTATTTAATAATCCACACAGACTCAGACAATGAGAAGGTTGTGGAGGAACATGGGCCAGTCCTGGAGTCTGGAGAAGGCTCTGATGAGTGCTCTGTATCTGAGGCAGAGATGGGGCCAGGGCCGTCCCACAATTAGAGTCGGAGATCAGTGGTACAGAACATCGGGAGCCTGTTCCCAATGTGTGCATGCGCAGAACTGCCAGAAGAAGATAACAGTTAAGGAACAAGAGCCAACTCAGGAGTAAAGGCACAGGTGGACAGTGAATGGCCCCTCCCATAAGGTATAAAGAGGAGCAAAAGGAGTGGAGTTTGCAAGAGACAATTTGTTCATTTAATTAGTGTGAAGATTTGTTTGTGATTCTAAGAGACTCCTTGCCAAGTATTTTCTTGTACAGTGTTGCGTTTGGAAGATGTCGTCCTGGCAGTTCTTCCAGCCTTATAAGGCCTGTGGTTGTTAATTCACCCTTGAAAGACTGTTTGCCCCGACTTTACTGAGGTGAATGAAAGGAATTCACATTAGCTTAATAAAAAGGTTTTTGTTGGGACAAAGAGTCTGCTTCCTGATTTTGTGAAGTCTAAATCAAAACACCTATTTCTACTTCTCACTCCATAAACTGCCTCTAGTTCAGAAATTAGATCAAGCAACTCTAATGATTTAATGATGACTGAAATCTTCCCTGGATGAAAAGGAATCAAATTAATCATTGTTTATGGAGGGGGATGTTTTTCTGCAAATTTTCTTTCTTGCCATTTTCCTGTTGCTAGGAAAAGAAAAATACATCCTTTGGCATTTCCAAGTGTGAAAAGTCCAACTGAGAATACAGAGCATTCTATGGATGCTTGTTGAAAAGGATTATCTTTTTATAGGGGACACTTTTAATAGAAAATACTTAATGCCCAAATTTCGTAGATAGATGTGATATCATCCATCTGTTCTTTTGTGCAGTTTTACTTAATATTATGGGTCCACCTACTTAAATACATCCTAGCCTAGCTTCAGGAGTTTAGAAACAGCAGCTTTTATTTACTTCAGCTTCCAGTTGTCTTTTGTAGTTTGATGAATTTTATCAAGCAAGGTCACTAACATCTATCATTTGCAATAACTCTCAGGCTGTGCTAAGCTGTTCCATTGCTGTGTGTTACCACAACATGGAAATCAGTGCAAAGTGTATTTGTAACAAAACAAAACTGAAAACTAGCATTCCTGGTTCAAAGGAGTGTTCAGGAGTGATTCTAAAGTATTAACAAGACAAACATAGAAAGCTGCCTTATACCAAATCACTCCATTGGTTTGTATAAATCACTGCTATTTATATTGTCTTTGAATACTTTTAGAAGGTCTCAAATAAGATATTTTCACATTATGATAGGATTTTCTGTATAAAAAATATGTGTTACATCACTGTGCAGTGCCTCTTTCCCTAGAACAAGTAAGAAGGTAGAACCTGAAAGAGACAATAGAAGATAAGTGTACATTCTTCGGTAGTCCAAACTGAATTATAAGTTTTAAATATCATTATGTTGAAATCAGATTACATATATCAGCAATCCTCTTCTCCTCTACCACACTGTTTTTGGGTAATCACCCAAATTTACCTGGGATTGTTTTATATCAAAAGATGTAAATCCCATTTTCACAATGTATTTATAAGCGTTCATCTGGCTTCACCCACATATGTAAGCATATTCGTATGTATGCAATTTAGAAGTTAATAGCTAAATAGACTGAAATTGGAATGATGAAATACCATGTCATGTTGGTCTGAAAGAAATTAGTAATATACACACTTTGGAATGTTGCCAAATAACACCATGGCATGATCCACAGTAGCTTGGCAAATGGGGGGGGGAAGACCCTGGTATATATAAAGTCCAAAGTTCTGTGTAAGTGACAGAACAGTTGATGAATGGACAAAACTGATTGATTTGAGGGAATTGAATTTGAACATTGAAATATTCTCTGTGTGTGTGTGTGCGCCCGCATGCATTTTCAAATGAAATGTCTTGTTTTCCATTCTTGTTTTTTTAAAGGTATTTGGTTTTCTAACTTATTAATGATACTGCTTTTTGTTTCCCGTAAAATCAATTTAATGACTTAACATGTTAAACCTTTGCAATTTCAACATGATGTACAAATCTAGCAAATAAACCTAGTTTTCTCAAGGAACAAAGATAACTTTTCATCTGTGGTGTGTTTACGGGTTTTATTTTTCCCAACCTTAGCAAATGTATTAAAATTGAAGAACCATTCACTATCATTTCTCTTCAGCACTGCTCACTGTATATATTTTAATTTTCTTAGGGATATACATTACAATCCAAGGTAGTAATGGCTAAGACATGCAGCTCCATATACAAACTTTTCTGTTTCTCTAAACTTTTCAAATATTAAATATAAACAACAGATATTAAATCTGCAGGTAGTAGCAGTCTTAGTTATGGGGCATATAATAACAGGTGTCTTTCTGCACCCTCATGTACAATATTTGAATGTGAAGTGTCAGAACTGATTTGTTTAGACTAAAAGAATCACATTTACACATGTAGAATCCAAGACAAATAGCATTTCAACCAGTAAATAAAATCAGATGCAAATAAATTGGATGTAGTATTGCATAAGGCCACAAAAATAAAAAATATATAACTCAGAAAATAAACAAAAGATATTTCATAGCTGCAAGAAGCTAATTCTAATTAGAAAAGCTGTTGGTAAAGGAATGGGACCAAATGGGTGTTGAGGGAGGAGGACAGATAAGGCTTTTAGTAAAGGTATCCTGTAAGACAGCTTTGGATCTGTAGGGGTCTGCTGCTCTTCTACTGCTCTGTTGGTCTTGTTGAGAAGTCAAGTTTGAAGACTGTCATTCTTCTATATGGTTCCAGACACTAATGATCCTTTGGTCTTTTATCATAAAGGGTAAAACTCAGCTTCCTTTTCAGCACTGGTTTTCTTCTGGTTTTCCTTCATTGGTTCAACTGCCTGTATGTTTGCATGTATTTCTGTGTTTACCAGAACTTTGTATCTAGTTACCTGGGAGTAATTCCATTCATAACTGGGGGATTTACTTCTAAGAATAGATAACACCGCATTTTGGGACAGGTGTACACTCTCATGAGCACTTACATGATTGGGAGACTCATGGAAATCAAATTCCAACCTCTTAAGTGGATATCTTTGGGCATGCAGGCACTTGGTTTGCTTCCAGCAAATAGGTTGTAGAGCTGTCAGGCAAAGCCTAACTATTCAATATTATTTCCAACATAACACATTTTAATCTAAAAAGAAAAATAATAAAAGTAATATATTCCTAATAAAATGCTCTGTAAGAAGAGACATTTGTGCAGTAAATGTCTGCCTGGAAGCATCTTTGGTTGAAGCAAGGATCTCAAGTTACCTAAAATGCTTTTAGATGAGCATTTTGAATCTTAGTTGCTCTCCCTTTTAAATAAAAAACTAGCAATTAACTTGATATAATTATACAATTAATCAGAAAATATGGGACATATTTCTATAACTAGAAAGTTGAAAAAGCTAATAGTTTGCGATATAAAGATATTACAGGATGGTTTATTTTATTTATTGATAATAGAGCAGCACAGATTTAAAGTTCTTGCCCTATAGTTTAATTATCACTATGAAGATATAGGTTAGCATTGGCTATCAGGGTTAGATTATTTTAAATAACGTAATAGCCATTTTTGTTCTTAAAGCAACTAGAAATCTCTAATACCATTCTAAGATTTTCATCAATGTACAATTCTCAAACCAAGTCAGTTAAATTGGCTTTTGACTAACTTGACCAACTTATTGTGTCAACATGTCCTAGGATGAAAGAACAAACAATATTCTTGCAGACTTGATTACATTATTCATGCAAATGTAGCCTTCACAAAGACAGTTGTGGTGTTAGGCAATTTTGTAAACATTATCATAGAAAAAATGTATCTTAGGTTCACGGCATTGTAAAATATACTTTAATTTCTGTAATTTTTTTCCTTTCCTCCTACAGCTTTGTCCTTTCTGTATATTTGCTGTCTTCCCATTTTCTTCTTCCTCCCTTATTCTCGAATCTCTATTCTTCTCTGTTGCAGCAAAATGATATCTATCAAAGTAATTGATGATGAGGAGTATGAGAAAAACAAGACCTTCTACGTTGAAATTTGGGAGCCCCGCCTGGTGGAGATGAGTGAAAAGAAAGGTGGGGGATCGGCTATATGGGGCTGAGCCCTACCTGTATGCACCTGTCTTGATCACTCATAGATGCCTGGCACATCCCAATTCATAGATTGTCAAAACACACATTCCCATTATCTATGTAAAAGGGCAGAGAGCTGAGTCACTGACCAGAAGTGTCATGATTAGGGTATCCTAAATTCCATTAGCTGTCAAATTTAGGCATAGTTTTAGCCAGAGAGGAATCTAATTAAAGCGTCATACTCTCTGTCATACAAGACTATCATTATCAAATCTACATTTTTACATTGCTAATTTGAACAAAAACTGTTTGCTTTTGACTCAGTGCCATGTAGTGGAAAGAAAACTATATGAGATGCTCAGAATCAAATTGCTCTTCTACAGAGTAACCTTTGGCAAGTAAGGTTAGATCCTTCTTTTTGTCTTCATTCAAAGGAGGCCACGCATGCATTGAGTATGGGAGAGATAGGTATGCTTTCAGGTGCTGTGATGCCTTCAAATATACTACAGGCAAAGTCTGCCTCTCGGTTTGATGCCCACAATGACCACGTATTCATTGTTCATAAAATGCCTGCCTGAAGAAGAGTGTGTCTCATATGAGGTTACTTCATAAAATAATTGTAATAAAATATGTTCATTAGCTATTGAGATACAGTGAATAGGATTGAAGCAAATGAACAGTCAAAAGCAAATCTTTCAAAGCAATTTAACAATGCCACGCTTGCTTTTCATGCCCGTAGCAATACAGTTCCAGTATTAAATTCTTTAGGATGTACTTAACTATTTCAACCACCAGAGGCTTTCTGCTCTCTTACATACATAAAAATAAGGATGTGTGGGTCAGAGTCCCTCCCATTATCATCACCATCAACCACCATCTCAGCTGGGTCAAACTTAAAAGCATGTGTGTGCGTGTGTGTAACACCAACCATTTGTTTTGCCTTTGTCTTGTGTTCCCACAGGAAATACATTACCCTTAGAATACTTGACCGTGAGGAATATGAGAAAGAGTGCAGTTTCTTCCTTGTGCTTGAGGAACCAATATGGATACGAAGAAGAATGAAAGGTGTGAGAGTAAACCCAGGCACCTTACAAGAAACTGGGACCATTCCCTGTGTGTGTCTCCCTCCTCTCACAACTTTCTTACTCAGCTTCCACTTAATGTGTCATGACCTCTGTCAAGCTTGGCAGCTTTAATTTTGCATCTATCTCTTTCTCTTTTTTAAAACAATAATTCTTGATAATTATTATGATCCACTTAAATGTACCATGTAAATTATTTATATAATACATCCTGTGATATGGATGCAATAAAATCCAAATATTATGACCACTGCAGTTTTGTTTCTCAAAGGGCAGATTCTTTAGCGTCCTTTTAATTATTCACCCAAATTATCTCATTGGCAAACAATAGGCTAAAATATCCATGCATAATGAAATAATTGTATCATATGCTATCCTCAGTAGACTTGTACCTTTATTACAGGTTTGTGCATCTATAAGTCTGTTCCAGTCCCCTCTCAAGGATATTTCCTCATTAAATATTTAGGGTTTTTCCTAAAAATATAAATTTCTCCTAATATTCTAGAAATAAAGAGAATTCAATGCAATTAAAAATAATACAAACAAAGAAATTGCACAGCAATTTAATATTATTAAGGTGTTGATTTTATTTATCTGAAGCACTCCTAGTCTACATTTCAATTGTAAAGTCTCCCAGAGGATTTTATAGATCAATCAAACCATATGTTGAGTATGTTTGATTCCAAGGCTCTTTTCCCCCCTCCCCAATTTTCTCCATGTTCTTGAGGTTAATGAATTCTTACTCAATTTTTCATTGCTGCTCAGTGTTAACAGACGAAATATAGAACCCAACTCAAAACAAATTTTGATATGGAGCCTAGATACATTGTGTAGTTTAACAGAAGTTGCATGATGGTCCTCTCAGAACAGGCCATGGTGGAAAGGAGAGTAATGATTGATGTACCAACAGATGTATTTATCTTTAACTTATATCATTTGATATTGTATTTTAAATATTCTCTTTCCTCATTGTCCATTCCTTGAGAACTGCAACTCACTATACATTTGATGCAGGTATCCTGAAAACACTTAACACTTAATGTGAGTATGTAAGGTAGATGTATAAATTTATTTTCATTCTTTGCCCACTTAGCTAAGGACAGAAGCCAACTGAATGCCTGATACCTTAACTTGTGGGTAGATAAAAATAGTGAAATAGGTATTTCCATTCAATCTGTATTACAGTATTACAAGGAAGACTATGCCACAAGTATGCCCCAGTGTATATATTGATGTGCAACGTAGTTTTCTCATCAAGTGTAGTTCATTCAAAGAAACCTATGTAACTGTAACTGGATCTCTTCTCATAAAGTTTTTTTAATGAAAATATTATTCAGCGTAATAAGCTCTAGAGATAAATACAATGAGCAAAATGTAGATTTAAATAATGTTGAGTTTGGTTGCTGAACAAACATTTAATGCTAAGAACAAAAAACAAAGTGCTAACTGCTCCCAAAATATCCCTTTCATATTTTGCAAGAAATAAATTTCTTCTTTTAAAAATCATATTTTAAATGAATAAAAACAGAAGTTATATTGCTTTGGCTAAGGAAAATGGCTATCCTAAAGAATTGGGCTTGCAGTTTCCAGATTAAATGGAATCATTGATGCTGAAAATTCAATAGGCTCTCTGTAGAAAATGCATCTTAAATTATGGAATAGATCTCCCTCTAATACTTTGAAAAGCATCCAGGAGATCTACAATGAGCTTTCTTGAGCAGGAATCATCTCTGTCTTACTCACAAGACAACATGATATTTGAAAGACTTGAAGGCTAAAAGATTTAATCCAGCCTTATTTTTGAAAAGCTTCTTTTCCTGTCATATTATAATGCCAAACAGAGTCACACTTGATTAAGAAAATAGCTATGTTTTATAAAGTTAGGATGTTCATAAAAACATGTTCCGCCTAGAAGCTTCTTTCTTCCAACTGCAAATACAGAATCATTGATATGAAACATGGTTGGATGATTATTTTTCTTTCAAATAACTGAGATAATTTTAAGAGCGGGATCTCTGTTTTGAAATAAATATATTCATCCAACTTTTGTTCCTGCTCAAATAGGTCCTACATATTAGTTCAAATTTTTGCTAAATCAATTGACCAGAGGCGACACTAAAATAAAAGAAATGATTACGTGTGGTCTTTTCCCAGCTTGCCTCCAGATATATTGGGCTGTGACACTCCCAACCTTCCAGGTATAGTTGCAGATGGTAGCTGCACATTATATCTGGAGGGCAGTACACTGAAGCTGGTGAAACCATTGGAAAGAAATTCTCAATTTCAACTGTCCTGAGAGCACCACATTTTCATATGAGCCAAGGTGGCGCAGTGGTTAAATGCAGCACTGCAGGCTACTGCTAGATCAGCAGGTCAGCGGTTCAAATCTCACCGGCTCAGGGTTGACTCAGCCTTCCATCCTTCCGAGGTGGGTAAAATGAGGACCCAGATTGTTGGGGGCAATATGCTGACTCTCTGTAAACCGCTTAGAGAGGCCTGAAAGGCCTATGAAGCGGTATATAAGTCTACTGCTATTGCTATTGCTATTGCTATATGTAAGTGACTGTATTTGAAAAACTGGAATGATTAAGTGCTTAGAGTGAATAGTGCAGTTTAGTTTGAAATATTTGCTTGTCATCCAGGGATGCTTTCAAGCATATTAGAGAATATATTTTCAGCCTTTTTCTCTAACCAAAGCAAAAGACAAGAGCAAGCATCAATCAAAATACTTACCTAATTTCACATTCTAATTACATTCCTAGTGCAACCTTCCAACTATAGCTGTGTCCTTAGGCAGAAGCCTCTGCCTTCTGTACTAAAGCTACCAAATCTACGCTTCAAAAATCCAGACCATTAAATGGCAGCAAATCACTATGGAGAAGCCTACCTAGTTCTACTTAATTTGGATTTTTCAACCCACATATAGTAGCTCTGTTCATCACAGCTAAAATGTTCCCCTTGTTAATGCAAGATGCACCCTTGTGCCAGGAAAGGATCAAGGCACATATAGAGCATTATAATTCCAGGCATAGGAATGACTTGATTGCCCTTTTTTTAAAGAACAAAAAAGCAAATGCTCACACATATCCATTGTGACATATTATTTCCTCAATCTCTGGCAGAGCTGTCAATGAAGCAAAATTAAGATATTTACATATATCCAAGAATATGATCTAAAAGTTGGGAACTTTGATTGAATTAAAGATTTGTCTGTTACACAAAACGGAACAGTGCATTTAATATTTTCCCACAATTTCACAGCTTATTCCCATGAAACTTGTCTTTTCCATTTTTTCTCATGCTATTTTTCTTTATAGTAATGGTATCCTGCAGCTTTGCATATCTGCACTTTCTGGCCTCCTGGATATGAAGCTTTTCTGTGGATGTCTTCTTTACTTTCATTGCTCATTTTTTTCTTCTGTATTTGTCCTTCTGTGTCTTCTCCACAGCCCTGTTGTTGAATGAGCTTGGTAAGCACTGCATTTCTTGCATTTCTTTTCCATATGGGGGAATCAGTCAATGTATTTTATGTGAATTATTTTTTCAATTTATTTCATGCTTTATTTTTCTCAAAAGATTCAAGGAAGCTGTCCCCCTAATTAAAAACAATTTGTCAGTCATTGAATGTCAATTTGTGCTTAAATTCGTTCTCCACATATACTGGCTTGAAAATGATCCTTCAGATTCAATGTGCCTTTGATCGAAATCAAGGTAGGAAAGAACTAATAAAAAATAGAAGATACTACATGATATTTGACCATAGGTTCTTACCCCCGAAGCTTGTTACTAAATTAAATTAATCAGGTCAAGATTCACATTGTATTCAGTCTTTCTTTTGGTACATTAATGAACAGCAAATATCTTTTTTTGTCTTACGGTTTGCAGCATGACATAATAGGTTCCTTTTTAAGCATTCCCTTTAAAATTGCTTTCGCCAGCTTAGTGTCAATATTTTGGACTACAACTTCCATGCTCATTAACCAAATATCCTTGTTATCCATGGCTATGTTGCAATCCTTGATGGCACTAGAGGGCCACTTTAAGCAATAACAATTTCCTTATGTTTTTTTTTTTCCAAGTAAAAGTCATTTTGGCATGTCTTTGGGACCTGCTATATAAATAGCTCAAAAGAAAATTACTTTTTTTATGATCAAACAGTTATTTGTTTTGGTAAATGAAAATGAGAAATTCTGATCTCTTTGGGATATTTGCAACTGGACCTCAAGTATTTTCACATCCTAAATTTCATTTTTCAGAAACAATTTGGTCTTCTTAGACAACCTCATAAAGGACACACATTTATCATGAAGTGTAATGTGTTTCTATATTCAGCCAAAATAAATGAAACTTGACAAAAACAGCTCTCATCCATCCCTGTGTCATTCACATAGGAGATTTCTGCACAATACTACCTATCTTCATAAATAAACTTTCAACACATTGAAAGGATAAACCAGGTTTTATTTGGAAATTTAGGCTCATTCAGTGTGTACAACTTTCTTATACCAGCCTTCAGTTACATATAAAATCAATAGCCATAAATCCATTTGGCCGGCAATTACAAGACAACCTGTCCAACACAAAATGGACAGGTACAGTTGAGAAAGGCAATCTTACAAGCCTAGCACAGTCAGGATATTTTCCTGAGTTTATGTATCATGGCCCTGTTCTTTTACTGTATTGGAATCAAATCACGTATTCGTTCTCTTGAGAGAGAACAACAAAAGTAGGCCTCAGACATGCATCGCCATCCCAGAAGGAGCTGATTCATACAGTTGAATGGACATTTTGACAACTGAATGTGAAGGAATCAAGAAAGTAAGGCATAATGCTCTAGGAAAAATGGAATATGTAACAGATGGTATATTATTAAATGTTAACTTCAGATCATATGGAGGTTTTTAGACATATTCTATATTTTATCCCCACTGTCTGAGATCCTTTTTATTTTGAAATCTCAGGACAAACTTCTGCACCCAACATCCTCTAGGTATACTGGATTGTAGCATCACTTCCAACCAGGACACTGGCTGCAGGAGATGTGAACTGATATCTAACACATTTGGAGGGTATCAGACTGATCTTGGAATTGGATCTGGGATCTTTTGCATAACGAATATGCATTTCCTGCTAATAAAATGCTTCCCCGTGAACTTTTAAAACAAGGAAACATTTTCCAAATGCAATATATTTGTGTTTCAAATTTGATGAGTATAGTCTCAACACATTTGAAGAAAAACAAGTTAGAGAAGATTATTCTCTTAATTTCGAATGTTGCCTTTCACTATATGTTTCAACCAATTATGATTGACAGGGTATGGCTTCCTATTTTTCATTTGATGTTCATATTTGAGAAATTTAGATAATCTTTTAATTAGCAAGACATACAGATAAACATACACTCCGATGATATTCCTATTAGAAAATATGTAATTCATATTAAGAGCAAAGCTTCAAAGATCTAAGTAATGCATGATGCAACAATATATTAATTTCCTTTCTTTTTCTCTCTGTTTTGGCATTCCTTTAGGTGGCTTCACAATTACAGGTATGGATTTTCAATTATCTTTCTGCTCAATGATACAAAGTTTTATATAGATGATCTTTTTTTTACTATTATACCTAGCTATCAATTATTTGCTAGCAATGCATAGGGGCCCCCAAAACTAGTGTTGTGTAATGGTCAAAATGTTGGGCTTCAACCAAAGAAACTTAAATTTAAGCCTACTTTCAGCTATCAAAGCTCAATGAGTGACTTTGGGCTAGTCACTCTTATACCTCACAGTATTGTTGGGGGGTGGAGGGGAAGAATTGAGGGAATACCATGAACTTACTAACTGTCTCGTGTAGCAGACATTTGAAGTTATGACAGTGCTTAAAAAATGTTGTCTTACAATCTTCGTAATTGTAACCATTGCAACATGCCACAATCATATGATCACCATTCACATGCTTCACAGCTAGTATGCACTTTCGCTTGTACAGTAGCAAACAGAGTTAATATAGAAGGTGGAAGTAAAATCATAATTTTCAGTCACATGATTTTTTTCACTAAGCAGCCACATTGCTTCTCTTAGCAACTGAAGGGAAAATAAGGTTGTGAGCCCCACTGTTGTCAAGTTATTTTTCAGCTCAGCATACATGTTGCTGATCTAACTTGTAGTCACTAAGCAAAGGCTACCTGTATTTTACTTTGTACTTTTCATGCAATAATGAGATATACACCAAACAAATATAAAATTTAAAAAAGCAGCTAGCAATCAAAGTTGAGAGAATTGTTGCCCCCATTGCTTTATCTATGAGCTTTGGATGGGCTTCTAGTTGGCCACTATTTATAAAACACAGAAAAAATAGAATAGAATAGAATAGAATAGAATAGAATAGAATAGAATAACTTTATCATCACTTTGAATGTACACTAATATAAAATGAAATTTCGTTGCATACAGCTCTCAAAAGGTCATCGCCTCCAATATACACTATATAAAAATGACAAAATAAATAAATGCAAAATTATTCATATATCCACATATATTACATGACACAGAGAAACAACACAGTCTAATTCAGATGTATATATGTACATGATGAGAAAAATGAATCTTTCAACTTTACTGGAGGGATGGCATAGGGAACGAACCTGTTACAGAATCTGGTAGTCCTGCTAGAAATACTTTGAAATATCCTCCCAGAGGGAAGCAACAGAAACAACTGGGACTCTGTTCCAGTTAATCTCCGACCTTTCAAAGATTAATATATAGGAAGATTTCCAAAACTGTTGCAATTCTTCTCTTTGGGGGCCCAAGTGAAAATTTTCAGACTAGAGTTAATCAACTCTATTATTACTCTACTATCACCCTTTACAAAAAGTTAAAAGATGTATTTTGTAACCTCAGACAAACCTATCTATGACATAGGAAGAAAGCTGAGCTAGCCCACCAAGGACTCCTATTATGAGAGTCCTATTAAAATGTATGAGGACGTGTTCATTTCCTTGGAGGTTGCATAAAACAGTCTCCTTATTACTTTTTGTGTTTTGGACAAAATGTTATAATATTCTGCATTTCAATCTACTTAGCTTTAAAATGTTATGAGCTTTTATTTTGGATAAAATAAAGAATATATAACTGATGATAGGATTGGAGTGGATCTTGCATACCTGGCTTCAGAAGCATCACAGGTCCTTTCTTAATTCTAAAAGAAAGCAAAAAAGCTTTTATAGATCAGAAATATACAGCCATCATATTAAAGCTATAGTGCCATGATGGCAAACCTATAGCATGCGTGCCACAGGTAGCACATGGAGTCATATCTGAGGGCACACGAGGTGTTGACCTATGTCAGCTCAAGCGCACATGTGTGCACTGGCCAGCTGATTTTCAGGCTTCCGGTGGGCAGTGGGAGGCCATTTTTGCCCTCCCCAGACTCCAGGAAAGATTCTGAAGCCTGGGGAGGGTAAAAACGGGGCCCACCAGAAGTCGGGAAATGTGCCTCCAGAGGGCTTGGGGGGGGCAGAGGAGACTGTTTTCCCCATTCCTAGGCTCCAAGAAAGCAACGCACGCATGCATAGGGGGCAGCGGGTGGGGCACATGCACATCCGCAGATGGGCACAAAGCGGAGGGGCATTTAATTATGGGTTTGGGCACATGCACATTCTTTTGGCACCCGAGGGGAAAAAGGTTTGCCATCACTGCTATAGTGGATGTAGATTCAACCAACAGATATATTGGAAGCTGTCATTCTACATTATGTTTGTTAACATCTTGGCTTATTCTTGTCATTGCTTTTATAATGAAGAGAAATATTTGAATGGTAAGACATCTTGATTTCTTTCATATACACATTCTAACTAACTAGCACTTTTTTGATTATGAGTTCATTTTTGCAAACCTAACCTCACATGTTTTGTGCTAATAACCTTATTTCAAAAAAACACACAATTATTTTCTGAAACTTACTTGAAGGCTTAACTTGAGAAACTAGATGATGATGTGTTTTAAGATACTTCCAATCTGTTGACAACAAGCCTCCAAATATTACAACCAACAAAATTTCTAAGATTTCTTCAAAGTGCTTGGTACCAAATTATCTTCAGCTGTATGTTTCATTACATTTTATTTTTTAGAAAACCTATTCAAAGTTAAATCATCCATATTTCTTTTGCCAATGTTTTAAATAAATAAAATAAAAATCGAACTATTCTGCTGCAACATGTACTCATCACAGCTGTAGGAAAATTTAAATGCAAGACACAGAAATAGACCATCTGAAACTTCCTATGTTCCAGAAGACAGAAAACATATACAAACCCCTAGCCTGACTTTGGGCCAATCACTCTCTGTCAGCCCAAACCACTTCACAATGTTGTTGTAGTTGTAGGGGAAAAAGAGTATGGAGTTAGGTATGTTCACCACCTTGAGTTATTTATAAAAATAATAAAGGCAGGAAAAATAAATAAATAAATCCTTTGCTTTTTCCTAGAAATTGTTATGCAGATGAAGCGGAGAAAGCAAAACTGGATATACCTTTAAAAGGATGGAATAAAAGTATGAATAGATACTTAAACAGCAATATCAGCTGCCCAGCTAGTGCCTGGAATAAATTGTAATTCATCTTATATCTTATGTGCCATTGACAAAGCACTTAATTCTAATAGGGGTAAATGATAAATTGCTGTTGAATTCTATTGCGTGGATGCTCAGGGACTCCATACTCAACTAGGCTGAGCACTGAATTAATGATAACTTTTCTGTAAAAAGTTTGCTGATGCAACTAATTGTGATGCAGAGAAAATATGCAAATATAGGAGGAAAAAAATCATCAAATATCTACTTTGTCTTCTCTTGAGACCAAGAGGGGAGAAAGTTTGCAATATCCGGTAACAGTCATTTTTGTCCAAAATATACTGTCCAAAATATATTCATATGAATATTGAATGAAATGAATATTGTTATGAAAAATCTTTTTTACCAAATGATAATTGAAAACCAATTATATGTGCAGAGAAGATTATCAGAACTATTAAGACACACATATGTTGGTTTGGAAATATCAAATCTAATATAGGTTGAACACATATTCTCTCAAACTGCGCTGCAACCAATTTGACTTCTTTTTGAGTTTCTGTCACCATCTTTTCTAGAATTTTAACTCTCAGCACTAACAGCTTTATTCTTATCATTGAAGGAGCCTTACTTTCCCATCACTATACTTCTACTGTTTTGGGCAGTAAAGACACTTTTTACATCCTCTTCATTTTTACAAGGACTGCTGAAACATTTAACAGATAGCAAGGGTTCTTGACATGTCACACCAAGCCCTCAAAGGTTTTGGCTTAGCAACATAGGCACTCATTCACGAGTGGGCATAGTGAAAGAGTCCTGTGTAAAAACAGGAATCGGGTTTTATCCATCTGAAGAACAAAGTATTTAGTAAAGTAAAATCAAATCAAGTCTATTTTCTGATTCTTTAAGATACAAAGAGTATGTCAGAATACCATGTTCACATGCCATAGATTTCATAACCAATTGTAGTTGGGAACTCATTGGGAGATTACTAATCAGAAGGTGACCATTGAAAGATTGGGAAAAAAAATCTAGTACCTCATTCTTTGTTTATGAAAATATTAGAAGGCAAAAAATTTGTAACTTGCAGACTTCTGTATGGTAAATGATTCCAATTCCCATTATCCTGATTTGCCATGCTAGTTGTCTCAGATAGAAGTTTGAGTTCCATAGCATGAGTTATTTCACAGATTTTCCAGAAAGTCTGTAGTGAGCATTTATACTTGTCATAACCCTGAGTGAAGTAGAAATTACAACTCACTATCTTGTAGATTTCTCACATTTAACAGACTCTAACTCCACAAAGTATTAAAACCACTATTGAAACCCAGTTCAGCCCATTGACATTAATTATTTTTGCCATTTTGTCAGGCAAGCCTGTCTTCAGGAAAGTTCATGCTAGAGACCATCCCCTTCCTTCTACTGTAATCAACATTCAAGGTATTCCAGTGTGCTAGGCTTCCAGTCCAACAGATGATTGAAAACCAATAACTCGCATGCATTGGTGTGGGATACAGGGAATGTATATTTAATGTGAGAAAGAAAATAGCACTTAGATTTATATACCACTTTACAGTGCTTTACAGCCTTCTCTAAGTGGTTTACAGAGTCAGCATATTGTTCCCAACAATTTGGGTCCTCATTTTACCCACCTTGGAAAGATGGAAAGATGAGTCAACCTTGAGCCTGGTGAGATTTGAACTGCCAAACTGCTGGCAGTCAGCTGAAATAGCCTGAAGTTCTGCACTCTAACCACTGCACCACCATGGCTCATAGGTGGGATTTGGTTTATTTTATTATGTCTTTGACCAAAAGAAAATACAGTCTTCCCCATTAATTATAACCCATTTCAGTGGACAAAATAAGAGTCTCTTTTTTTCAGATTTCCTTTGCACATTGTTCTATCCTAGGTAATCTTCCAACATGGATACAAGATCCCTTTACTAGATCCCTTTCAGCCGGGTTTCAGGCCTGGTTACTCCACCGAAACATTCCTCTATCCTGGTGCTTCTTGACCTCTCAGCGGCCTTCGATACCATCGACCATAGTATCCTTCTGCGACGACTGGGAGAGGTGGGAGTGGGAGGCACCGTTTTACGGTGGTTCTCCTCTTACCTCTCAGACAGGTCGCAGTCGGTGTTGGTTGGAGGACAGAAGTCGACCCCCTAGGCCCCTAAAGTATGGGGTGCCTCAGGGCTCGGTCCTGTCCCCCCTCCTATTTAACATCTACATGAAGCCGCTGGGCGAGATCATTCGTTGGCACGGGATCAAATACCACCAATATGTAGACGATACCCAGTTGTATCTGTCCACCCCGTGCCAACTCAGCGAAGCAGTAGAAGTGATGTGCCAGTGCCTGGAGGCTGTCAGGGTCTGGATGGGAGTAAACAAGCTGGCACTCAATCCAGACAAGACCAAGTGGCTATTGATGTTGCCCCCTAAAAATGGTCTAGATATTCCATCTCTCAGCCTGGTGGGTGAAATTCTTCACCCCTCAGAGAGGGCCCACAACTTGGGTGTCCTCCTGGATCCTCAGCTGACATTAGAATATCACCTGCCGGCTGTGACCAGGAGGGCTTTTGCCCAGGTTCGCCTGGTGCACCAGTTGCGGCCCTACCTGGACCAGGAGGCACTTCAAATGGTCACTCATGCTCTCGTCACCTCTAGGCTTGATTACTGTAATGCGCTTTACTTGGGGCTGCCCCTGAAGAGTGTTCGGAGACTACAATTGGTTCAGAATGCAGCCGCGCGAGCGATATCGGGTGTACCTAGGTACACCCATGTTACACCTATCCTCCGCGAGCTGCACTGGCTTCCCATCGGTCTCCGAACACGCTTCAAGGTGCTGGTTGTTACCTTTAAAGCCCTACATGGCTTGGGACCTGGATATCTGCGGGACCACCTCCTGCCACATACCTCCCAATGACCCATAAGATCTCACAGGCTGGGCCTCCTTCGGGTACCGTCGACCGGGCAATGCGGTTGGCGACTACTCAGGGGAGGTCTTTCTCTGTAGCTGCCCCGGCCCTGTGGAATGATCTACCCGCAGAGATCCGGACCCTTCCCACTCTCTCGGCCTTCCGGAAAGCCATTAAAATCTGGCTGTTCCGGCAGGCCTAGGGCTGTTGACCCCAAAATACGGTCCAGCCCCATTTAGAACGGAGTGCATGGTGTGCTGTTTTTAAATTAACTTTTTTTTCTCTATATTTTTAATTTTTGATTTATTTCTGTACTGTAAGCTGCCCGGAGTCCTACGGGATTGGGCGGCATATAAATGTTATTAAACTTGCAAACTTGCAAACAAGATGTGAAACATGAAATACCTTTTTCTTATAGTAGTTCTTATCAAGCTTTAAACCGGCCTTGTCCAAAGGAGTTTGCTGCTTTTGTCAGTCTGCCCCATCCTTTGCTCACCCATAGATGCTATTGCTTGAAGCTATCTAGCCAAGTGAACAGATATCCATTATTCAAATCTTCCATAACAATAAGAGAACAATAGAGTCAAGGATTCTCCTTCCATACCAGCCTTCTCATGTACCAGAGTTTCTTGACCAGTTTTAAAATTATACTTTATCTATGTTCAAAATTAAACATTGTGATGGGGGGGGGGGGCTTCAGTAACTCAATAACTTATTATAGCTGATGATAGAGATAAAAGCTTTTGCTGTATCTATGCTGGATCTGTCTGCCAAGCTTTGTCCTGTGCAAAAAATCAGTTTTGACCATTCAGTCTCATGGAACCTCTCCCTTATTGTCTCTCACTAGAACATCTGGTGCATTCACTTTCAACAAAACAAAAATCAGATTGTTTCCACCCACCTATCCTCCCCTCCATTAGCATTGTCTTGGATACATTCAAATTAACAGATTACTTCTCATAGTTTTTAAGCACCAATCAAGTAGTATTAGCACCTTCCAAATTCACTTTTATCACAAAACAAAAGGGGAATGAGAAGGAGAGGAAAATAAAATTCAAGGGTTTGGTTTTAAGCAAAGAATTAAATTCCTTCCCAGCAAGAGGGACGGTACACTCAAAGATATGAATAGAGTTGCCAGATGTCCCTTTCTAAGAGTTGAAAGGAAGGGGCTCCTTTATTAGACTTATTTATATCAACTAGATATAAATAACAGCTAGAACTAGAAATATAAGAGAAGCTCCTTAAAGCCCTAAAGTAACATTATTACCCAGCCAAAGAAGTAATTAAAATTCCTTCCTGTTGATACTTAGATGTAGCAATAAGAGACTTTTCTGAAATATAGGAGCCCTAAACATGTGTTATTATAATACTTCATATAGTATTATACACTGTGATTAACAGTGCAATTAACCAGATAGTGAAAACAGATTGCCAGTTATCAAGCTTTTACTGATTAAAAATGCTATAAATTTCAATTTAACTTTGTATTAAGTCAATCAGTTGCTGACGTTCAGCTGGACAAATATATTATAGAACATACAGGCAATTGAATTCCACAGATTACGGTACAAAATAAATATATGTATTCATTCTTCTTTGTTTATCCCATCCCTGTAGATTCCCATTGCCCCAAAATAATCTTGACCAAATGTCACTATAGGTTCCTATCTACTCTTATTTATATTTGCTCATCTCTGGCAAAGTCCATGACTGTGCTACTGGTTGTATGATCTTTATAGATATTGGATGGTCTGTCTCATGTAACCCAATTCTCTCCATATGTGTGTTTCGATCTGTTAAAAATTGTGGAATCCTCTGATGAGCTTGTTAAGAGACAGCCAGATATTGTGTGCTTTCAATTTGTCAATAAAACAGAATAGAGATTTGAAGAGGGGGAGCATTGAGTAAAATGTATGAAGCTTAATTATGCTACTTCCAATTATTAGTTCTGCTCAGACATTAAACTTCAGCGATTATTCAGAGGACTTCCAGTTGGCTAATGAATGGAGCCATTTGGGTAATTTTGCCTCTTCCTTTGTGTGTCTCTTTAAAGAAGGATGGAAACCTGTAACCCCAGGAACCCCAGATTCCTTATTTGCAACTACTAGAATCTTAACATACCATTGATTTTTGTCAGAGCAACCATCAAAAGTTAACAATAAACAAAATTTGCTGCCATTATAAAAAATGAAAAAAATGGGAAACTATACTGTAAAACTAAAATAAGTTATTTTTAATCAATATTAGTGTTATTGATTGATATTTATTGATGTATTATATTTTAAATCACCCAGAGTTGCTTTAACAGTAAGAGGGACAGCATAAAAAATTAATAAGAAATAAAAATAAATGATGGAGACCATGGAAAATTCTGGTCCTGTTCTGTAGCATCTACTATATTCTTCATCCCAGCCATTTCCCAAATAATTAAATACTTAGACATGGCTTTTAGCATCCCAAAATCTGCCTGCTCCTTTTCTAAATGCTTCCCTAGAAACTACAAGCTTGTTTTCCAGTTTAAACACAGACAAGGTTTGCTTCACCCTCTCATGCTGTCTGGGAGCTGGGGCAGGTGTTGGTTAGAATAGCAATGAGCCCCCTCACTTTTCGCTTAGATTTTATTGGGCTCTCAATGAAACATAATGCCTGAATATAGGGAACTTTCCATCTTTTTATCAAGTGTGAAAGCATTGCCTTGGGGCCATGAACACAGACAGTTTTACCCACAGAAATTTTAAGAAAACTTTAAAAATTGAAACAGATCCTAGAAGGTCAGCCAGATTTCAGTGGAAAATGTAAATGTATAATTGTGATTCTAGTTACAGAAATATGAAACATCTCTACATGGTAGCAGTATAAAGAGGAGAAGTGGAGCAATCCAGCAGCCAGAATTCATTTTCATGAAGCCCTTCCTTTCCAGGCCTCTTGTTCCAGTCAATAAATGTTATGATATCAGAGCCCACTTGATGATAAAAAATAATATGAAGAGGCATGGATTACATTCCAAGAGAGAAAAGCCATAGGAAGAAAAGAAAGATGGGAGACTTCACCATCTGGCACAGCAACTTACTCATTAGGCTTTACTTTACACACCTAAAGTAATAGTTTGAGATACAACTGAGAAAGGTTCAGGTTAACATGAACACAATATATTTTGTGTTTAGTCTCGCCAGGAATATTAAACTCAAATATGATTATGTTGGGTTGAGCCTGATGTCCTCCTCTAAGTCTATCTTCACGTAATCAAGGAAAGGTGTATTATAGAGTGTCCCTTTTGTGTGCAAATCTAAACATGTGTTCTTTTGGGAGGGGACAGGGTTCCTTGCCATATTTGGATAGAAATCTTGATGATCAGTAGAAAGAGATGCCAAAAACTCCTTTCTGCCTTGTCCTGTTATAAAACCTAAGTTATAATTAAGAGGTATTCATCCAAGTATTGCAGCTAAATGGCAATTGTCGGGCAGTCCTAACAGGAAAAAATAGTTCTGTGAACCTGGTAAACATGAGCTGATACTTACCAAAGATATTTCTTTATATTTTTCTTCCGGGTGTGTTATCTGCTTTTGCTTGAACACCACTCAGTCAGATTATTTCAGCAATCTAAAATTCTTGCTCATAGAAATCACTTCGCATCTGTTACAATCATATATTTCATATTTAGACAACCTTTAACTAATAGTAGACATATTTTAAAACAACCACATTGGGTAGTGTATCACATACCTGTGAATCCATAAATAGATATTCCCTTTCTATTTCCCAGTTGCAAAGGGCAGCTCAAAGAGCCACCTGCTAAATTGTGGTTCCCTTAAAAAGCACAAGGGGTGAAAGGAAGCACTCCTTTTGACGTCCAGAGGAGCTGTGAGACATGATATCATTTCCTGATGTTTCCAGGTAAACTATCTGGAGGAGCAAACTCCAATCCTTAAAATGCAGGAGGCTGCCCTGATGGTGTGTTCTTGTAACAGTTGTTCGCTTGCTTTTGCCACATTAATGGAGTATGTTGGAGGATAAACAGAAGATGGCTGCAGAAAAGGGAACAGACTCAACCATCCCTCAACTGGTTCTTTTTGTCTTCTTCATCCCCAGAAGAGAACGAAGAGAAGCAGCCTCTGACAGGCAAAGAGGAGGAAGAACGCCGCATTGCTGAAATGGGGCGCCCCATCCTGGGGGAGCACACAAAGCTGGAAGTGATTATTGAAGAGTCCTACGAGTTCAAGGTGTAGTATGTAGACATCTAATGTCATTATTACCATTAATTTAATGTATTTAATTCAGGCACCATCTGACAGCAAACAACTATTACTGTAACTCTATTCTGTATCAGTCCTGGAGTAACCTAGGGTTATATTTTGGTAGAGCATTCTCAGTATGCATCTCCAAAATGTGCCTGTGCAATTAGAATTTTGTTCTAAGAAAATGCAAATTGTGTGAGTCATACAAATTATAGCGTTGAAATATTTGGCTAATTTTTTAATGTTATTATTTATTATGTGTTTATATATTATGTTGCATATGTTTAAAAAAAACAGTAAAGATTTATCCTGTAGGAAATTTTATTTCAATACTTTGCCAACTCACTTATAATAAATATTTTTAACAATTATTATTATTAGAAAGCCATCAAATATTCTTAGGAAGATAAGCCACAGCCACATTCTTTTCTCTATTTCTTTCTTTCTCTTTCATTTCTTTCTCTTCCTAGTGGGAGTTCCAAAAATATTAATAAATCTCCTTATGTATTTCAAGCACATTATGAAAACAACCCCCCTCATTGTAGAAATGAGTTCAAATAAAAAAAAATTACACACAATTCTCAGATTGTATAAATGATTTCTGTCAGGTGCAAGAAATCAGGAGATATGGTTCACAAGTACTACAAATTTGTTCTATGCTATCTCAACATAAAAATCTGATCTACTTGTGGTCAAGGCAAATCGACTTGGGGGGGGGGGTGGACTTAGGTCTCTTACAGGGCTGTAGAGACTCCAAACTGATGAGGCATCTGATTGTGCCCTCAGGCTCAGCCTTGTCATTTCCTGCTTCTTCAAATAAGAACATTACACACACTTTAAATGTAAAAAAATTATGAACAATAAAGCATAGGTACTTTATCCCTTCCTTTTATTCTATGAATAAAGTGGATAAGTTTGAGATAATACCTAACTTCTCACCCAATCAACTTTTAAACTAAAGAATACGGTTCCACCACAAAACCGTGGTAGACAAAAGCGCGCTCGACGAAAGCGCATACGTGATGTCATCACAGTGCGACGAAAACATTCCGCTGTGATCGATAAATGTAAAATTAAAGCGA